GTTCCATATCAGGTGCTTCATACAGATTATCTCCCTGGCCCCTCACAGCAGTGCTGGAGGTCGGGAAACTGAGGCACAGAGGGTGCCCACTGCAAGACCTCGGCAGTACTTTTACTTCTTCATCTGCGAAGTGGGATTGGGGCCAGCCTCTTCCAGGATGAGAGGGCTGCCTGGGAGCAGGGTAGACACAGCTCCTGTCCTTATGGACGTGGTGAGGAAAACCACAGGTGGGGTCACCAGGTGACACAGGCAGAGGAGGTGCCTGTCAGATGTTTACTTGGGTTAGTTGCTTTGACTGTTGAGCTCCTTTGGGATGAGCTGCAGAAAGTTCTGACAAATGCCAGTCCCAAAAATACTGCTGCACAGAGTGCAGGACACATACAGAGAGTGAGGGTGGCTGCTGCTCTCAGGGAGCAGTGTTCCAGAGAGCACCATAACCTCAGAGCCAATTTGCCTCAAGCCATAGCCCAGATGTGCTCTTTGGCCTGTCTGACCCTTACAGATACCCATGTGAGCAGGTGACAGTGGTGTCCTAGTCAGGGAGTGCCTACTTGCAAGGAGCCAGAGCCCACACAGGCACACAGCCCCTGGGGTGCATGGGAGGGTGCAGGGGCTGTCTACTCCTTGTGCAGGTGTCTCCCTGTGAAGAGGCCCCATGTCCACACCCTCGGCACGGCTCCCCCACAGCTTGGATGTACCCACGGCTCTTGGTTACCATAGCCCTGCCTTGGGCTCTTGCATGTGCCCCTCAGCCATGACTCAGCCTCTCATTGTGCCCATTTCTAATTCTCAAGATAGCAACTTTGGCCAAGTGCAGTCAGGGGTGCAGCCCCAGAGGCAACAGAGTCCCCAGAGCAAACATGGGCTCTCCCACCCTCCCCTCTGAGGGCCTGGGAGGGGGAACAGGGTGTCTCAGCAGGGGGACCATCCTGCATCTGGGATCGAGGGGAGGCTTGCCAGCAGAGAGCACAGGGAAGAAAGGTTGTGTATCTGAAGACACTCTGGAAACCGTGCTGGAGAGCAACACGGACTTATTTCTCACAGGCTCAAATTCTCCAAGGTGGTTGTCGTTGGCGATCTCTACGTGGGGAAGACAAGCCTCATCCACAGGTACATCCTACCAGCCTCTTCAGGCCAGGCCCCATCGGCCATACCTCCCAGCACCAGGTTGTTGCCCCTTAGCCTGAGAGGCCCAGACAACATTGTCATAGTGGGAACCGTGTGGCTGCTGGGAACCATACTGCCTTGGCCTGGTGGGCACCAGATGAGAGAGAGTGCAAGAAATCAGGGAGACGGTGAGGTCGGGCAGACAGCGCAGCCAGGAGTCTGGCGTTTGTCACTATCTTCTGGGGCTGCAGACTTGCCCCTCCACTGCCCTCCCTGCAATGGACACTCCATTCCTCCTTCACTCTTTCTAACTTGCAGTGCTTGCCTTCTGGGCCACTGCAGCCTTTCTTCCCCCACATCATTCTTACTGGCTGCTTTGTCCTTCTTGGGTCTTGTGGACTGTCACTTCCTTACTGATTCCCTATTGGTGGACTTTATTATAGAGGGTTAGAAACCTTGATTCTCATTTGATCCTTAGGTAGGGTTTTTAGCTAAAAAACTTATGGGACAAAAGTCCTTAGCTAGGAGCTAAGAGCCTACAGATAGGGGGCAAGAGCCCATCAAATCAACTCTAATCACTGTTTAGGAAAGGGATTATACACACTGATTGTTAATATAATGGGGTCGTTGACAGATTTTGTAAGAAGGAGACTTACACAGGACTAAAGCCTTTAATGTGGATAAGAGAACTGAAGCAGAACAGGGATTGTTCTGAAGGCAATCACCCTTCATACAGCAAAACTTAAATGATGGGAAAATATGTGAGTTAAGATTTCCAAGGATGTTCTGCTAGATTAGTTAGTACATGGGGGTCATTCCACATCTTGCTTTAAGCTGTTTCTTTGAGTTTCTTAAGAAGTCAGGCACTTTAATGATTATCTTATTGTTTCTTTTGCATGTCACCTAGCTTAGATTTATGACTCTTTTGATGGTATATTGTTTAAACTATTTTAAGCCGTGCATGCTTGGATGAAGATTGTTACATAGCCAGTTTCTTTATGTTCTTACTATGATTGATTAACCATCTATTCTTTTTCTGTAATTTCCTTGTCTTTACAGTAAAAACTGAAGCAAAACCTGACTCAGGGATGTACCCAGTTTCTCCTTCTAACAGAGGAGTTGCTGAGGTGCAGTCGCTTCGGGCTTCTCATTGCATTCATGTTGCTTTGAGTAATCTCTTTTCTGTCCCCATTACACAGCCAGAAGTGTAACACTTTATCTGCCTCCAGGCTCCCATTGTTACAAAAAGAGCTTCCATGCTCATTTCTGTGCAGGCACCCCTCTGATGACTTCCTCTTCCCTGCCGCAGGTTCTGCAAGAATGTTTTCAACCATGACTACAAGGCCACCATTGGGGTGGACTTTGAAATCGAGCGCTTTGAGATCGCTGGGATTCCCTACAGCCTCCAGATGTAAGTCGCTGTTGGGGCACACTGGTTTCCAAGGCTCATGGGTAGGCTCCCTGGAGACATCTGGGGAAGGCCTTGGCCAGCTCCTGCTCCCCTGTGTCCCATGGCACTCAGTGAGGCACCAGCCGGACAAGCAGGACCTGGGGTGGTTATGTGAAGCCAGTGGGCTTCCTGGCTCCCCGAGCACACAGATGCTCCTTCAGTCCCGACAGTTGTCTCATGTTGGTCATCGGATCTGGGGAAGGTCCTCACAGCCTGACCTACCTACCCCCTACCCCTCCCCTGATGGCCTGCTGCTCTCAGGCTCTGGCTCCTCTCCCCTACCTGCACCTCCTGTGATCTGTCACTTCAGCAAGTTACCTATAAAATGGGACCAAATCCAGTCCCCGTGTGCCAGACTCAGGGAAGAGGGCTAGGGTGGAGGCCACACCGTCACATCCCTTGCTCAGGCCTGACACACTCATCTTCCTCCTCACACCACTGCCCACACTCCTGCCACCTCACTTTCCTTCCACCTCTGTCTGTCTGTCTGTGTTCTTCCCTGCCAGACCCCAGGCCTCTGACTCTCCAGGGCCCACTAGCTTCAGCCCCTCCCTTCTGCTTTCCTTCAGAACAGCCCAGGGGCTCTCACCAGGGTTTAGCTTTCCTCTGGACCTCACTGTCCCTCTCCTCTGGCACCTGGAGGATGCTGCAGGCCTGCCCAGGCTCCAGTCCCCCTCACTGTCCTGCATGGCTGCTCCTGTACTCCCTTGCCTGCTGGCATTCACCAGGCCTCTGTGCTGCTCCTCTTCCCCTTTCTCTCTCCCTGGGTTCATTCCTCAATCCTCCATGCCCTGCCTGGGCTGAGCCTGCAGATCCTGTGGACATCAGCTCCTAATTCCTTCTTTAAGGATTTCCACAGCCCCAGTGCAGTCCTGGAGCCAGATGGTACCCAACCTTGCCCGAGGGGGAGTAGAGGGTCAGCTGAGAGCAAAAGAGGCTGTGAAAATGCAGGGCTGTGGGACTGAGGGATCTGGGGAGCTGAGAAGAGCAAAGAGCCTGTGGGAGGAGGTCAGGTGGAGCTGTGAGAGAGTGGCCTATGGCTGGGCCCACCGTTGTGGCCACAGGCCGTATCTAATTAGATGGCCCAGGACAAAATATGGCACTGTCCTGGCTCAGTCTCTCATCATCTTACATGGATGCCATTGCCACCACCCAAGTGGCCCCATCTCCAGGCTATCACCCCTAGCACTCCCCTTCAGAGTCATCAGAAATGAAAGAAAATATGAATGAATTAGTGAAAGAATGAAGCCAAAAAGTGAATCATGCTGGATAATGTGGAAAAACAGACCATTGTATACTTTTCAGTTTACAGAGAAAAGTTAAATTTTAATCTGTTGACTTTTAAGAGGGATGGATTGGGGATGGATTTTCAGACTTAGCACTGCATACTGATACCTGCCTTCTTCTAAAGTAGGACAAGTAGATCTCAGAATGTGCACCTTCCCCACTTCTATGCTGTTCCCATGGCAGACATCACTAATCGATTGTTGCATTCTTTTCCATGGACCCAGGGCTCAGCTTCTAAGTCCTTCTCAACATGGTGCTCCAGAGAGCCA